TTCTCTTATAATATGTGATACCGGTGCTTCAGCTTGTTAATATGATGCTATTAGTATGAGTAGAATAACGAGGATCTAAAGGGTATCAATAACCTGGTCGATGACTACAACGATCGGAACATTGGGATAACTGTACGGGTATTATCACTCATCTCTGGATAGTAATATTAAGATGGTTAGGATTGTCATATATCACCATAACATTTCTTCTACAGTGAATTTGATAGGTAATATATTACCAGGAAAAGATAACACCACTGCCAAACACATAGAGATGTATACTACCATCACCACTACATTACCCGATATAAAATCATCTCTAACTTTGACGATAATAACAATAATGATAGTAGTAGTAGTAGTACTTTAGATGAAGCATCAATGATGGTTGTGTATGAGGACCCCATATTAGATATTCACCTATACCAATACATGTATATAACATGAAACATAGGGATACTGCAGTAAGGGTAACTCTCCTCATACGGTTAAAGGCTCTGATTATGAATGATAGTAGTAGTAGTAATCACCTCAATAATCCTTATACCATTATGTCTTGTTGAGAGAGTAAAACTACTGCTATTAACACAATCATCATCATCATCATCATCATCATCATGCTAGTGATCCCATACATAGCAATCGCAAGTCATATTATTACCTGTATAACGCTAGTAACACGGATACCCCCTAAATGGAGAACTCATTACCTTCCTAATAGAGGTAGTACCATCGTCACAACGTGTACAATCCTGTAGTAGGTTCGATAATAACCGTTAATGTACCTAACATTACCATCACTTCCTCATTCTTCAAGCCTTAACCTTCTACCTTACCTATGGGATGATATGCTTGGTAGCATCATCTAACTCAAGTATGATATAGGCAACATCATTATTACCTGGTAGTACAGAGGAATACTTCAGAGGAATCGTTATTACCACAGCTGTGATATTAACATTCCAAACCGCTTATCAATAGACACGAGCACTATCTACACTCAAAAAGGACTGCAGCAGCAGCAGCAGTAGCAGAGGAGCTACATACGACAAAACCGCCAATACTGTATGAGGGGAGACTCTCCAGAGGAGATTCGACTTTGTCGACGATGAGGGAGTTGAAGATGATATAAGAAGGTAATATAGTATATGCGGAAGACGTGTACCTCCAACTTCTTTGAGAGGTATTGAAACCCTCTGTACTACTATCATAGTCTTCCAACTCTTGCCCATCTACTACTACTACTAGTATCATCATATCATTATCTCCTTCCATGGTCAACAACTCCAATGCTGTGTTAGGTGGAGTGGGAGTGGGAGTTGGAGACTTACCTTCACGACTGCTTAAGGTATTGGAAAAGTCTTTCTGTTGAATGTGGTGGTGGTGGTGGTGGTGGTGGTGGTGGTGGTAACAGACAGGTTCGGAGTATCGATATCAGTCGACTGCTGCTAATAGCTCTCGTACTACTTCTTTGTATGATAGGGGAATCTCAGACGACACGGGGGTGAACAACAACAACAATGAGATGATAATGACCTGTTAGATGAACGGATACACGAAAACAGCAGCGCCTTGTGAATAACGGGCCACTCGTCGTTGTCTCCTTCCTTTCATTATCTCCTCTTAACTGAAGGACACATTCCTTCTAATTGTAGTCCAATTAAGCCTAGCGAATCATAGAATATGTTCTTCTCGGTACGGCGTCTTACGGTCTACGTCACCAACTAGACAGGAGACTAGGACACGGAAGAGAATCATACTCACCACGAGGAGATATGGGAAATAAAAACCGCAGCATTTATAAGAGGGATGCGGTACAAGAAGTTGGATCCGATAGTCGCCACCGATAATGGTGTTTTGTTAAGGCCTTCCTGGGGATGGGGATACTCACCGTTGCCCCCCTCCCCCAAGAATTAGTAATAATCCAACGCCGCCATTCAATCATAGACTTCCAAGGCGATTAGATGCCTCCGATAGGCGCTCAACAGTCAGTCATGGAGGAGCTCTATCGGCCAATCCACCAATAAACTCCGCGGAAGGTTCAATCTTCAGAATTTGTACCTCGAGGAAAGGCGGCGAACTCAATTGAAATCCGCTGCCTAAGAGATTCAGCCAGTATATCTTGGAGATCCTTCAGTAATCCTTTAGCCGTAGACTACGTGAGTATGCTGGTGGAGAGCGTCCGTAAACCGTCGCGTCAGAGATGCTCTATCAGCAATGTTGTTTTAGCGAGGATAAGATAATCGAATGGAGCTCGTTGGTTCCGAAATGCAGAGACGATAGTTTTAGGAGATTGAAGCGACTTGAAGTGGGATGGAAAATAAAAGATTGGTCTTATTCGCGTCTAGCCCAGAAGCTAATCCCAATTCTTACAGACAGCGTGTCCGAGTGGTTAAGGAGGTGGACTCGAAATCCACTAGGCTCTGCCTGCGCAGGTTCGAATCCTGCCGCTGTCGTTATTCTGTCTCGATTATTAGTACTCATTCCCGATTAGTTCTTCAACATGCGTAAGTTCCTTCTGTCCGCCTCAGGAGCCTCGATCGCGGATGGAGAGGCATGCAGCGTATCATCGTATCATAAACGGCATTATCCCCGAGTATATGATGATGGTAGAATACCTGTAGGAGGAACTCCAACGTGAGTGAGAAGAGCCTACAATGATATGTAAGTGAGTCTTATCTATCTAGTCTACAGGCCCTCCACAATGATCTTTGTCTAGATAAAAGGGTTGATGATGATACAAGGGTCACGACACTAGCATCGTCTCCACATAGCAGCAGTACTCAAGGCGATTCTAGGCTGCGACAATTCCATTCCAAATTCCTGTCTATTCGATCAGGCATGAATGTTATGAGGGAAATCCTGTTGTTATCGAGGCATTTGTGTAATAAGTTGGGATGAGACAAGGTGGACTAAATCCCCCCTGCCCCGAGCATTTGATAGTTCCCTTAGCTTCGATGTTCAATGTAGTTGATGGGGTTATCTTCATTATCATGAATTATAATAGTTTATAACCTTTAGTTATGACCTGGTTGTGTTAATGTCATCGTGCTTACGAGTTCATTATTACAGTTGATCATTGATGTTATCTCGGTATCGTCTAGGATCACCATTATTAGCTAATAGTTTGAAACAGTGGAAACCTTATAAGTCGATCGAAGGTGTTAGTGGTAGTAGTAGTAGTACTAAACTAAGCGAACACTCCGGAAAAGAAGTGGGTGGTAGTTATGGTTGTACATGACAAGATGTAATAGTGATCATGTCAGCGTCCTAAGCCCAAGAAGGCTATATTCAAAGGAGGAGATGATGCCTCTAGAGGCTATATCATGAAGGTAATACTAATAATGGGGTTCACTCATGAGCACGATGATGATTATGATTATCAGCCACGATATGGCAGGAGGGTTGTAGACATGTTACTCGAAGAGAATGCCACTGTCGAGCTATTACGGGGTAAGATGATGCTGCATTCCCATACAGGGTGCCATCACCACCAGCACGGCAGAAAATGAGGTGTGTTTCTGTTATTGGAGCAGTAGCATTATTATTGGGTTTAGTTGCAGTTGCAACAATGGTGGTAGCAGCATGGACGACGAATGCCCTCTCAGCAATAACGAGGAGAGCTATTCGATATGTATACCTTCAAGGTTGAAGGAGATAAGCATTAATAATACCGTAACAGGCTCGTCATCATCATGACCATACACATTGTCGTACAATAGCATCATCACAAGGGATCATGACCATAGAAAATGAGGCACTAAGATATACGCATGAGTTCCGTCAATTACACTGGGTAACTCTTACCTCACAACAAGGGGAGTTCATAGAAATGATGATACAACGCTCTTGCATGCAACAACAGGAAGATGATGAGAATGAAGTTAGATGTACTGTATCATAGCTCTATCATCGAGTAGGCTCTACGCCTCATCATCATCTACTACTACGTCCTAATACACTATACTTGATTATCCCTACCCGATTGGTGACTCCTTTTAGAGGCCGCCTGGGGGAATCCTTGAGAGCTTCTTCTTCCCAATCATATAAAGGAGATTACACTAGCCGATATTGTGATACAGGAGTGTGACACTAGAGTGTATCCTTAATGATGGGAACAACTTCTTGAATAACACTATGAACAGCATAATCAACATGAAGTACAACATCAGCCTTAGTGAGATAACTTCCACAAGAGTAGAAAAGAAGGTACTACTCATGATGGATTGATGAACTCTACTATTATAACGATATCATTCTTAAGGACTTCTTTATAGAATAATAATCTCCTCAGATCATTATGATGAGAGTAGTAGTAGTAATACCACTACACACCAACTTGAGTACACACCAATTCTGCTCTCAATGCTGTTAACATCTGTTCACATATATACCGCTATACCTACTAGAACAGCAAGCAGTGTTGCTTATTAATAACCACCAACAACTCTGTCAATACTCTTTTCCTTAATGCATCTATCTATTTACGCCTTCTCCTTAGAGATAATACCATTATAAAGGATAAATAGTACTTGACCTGGGGGAAAAGATGATGATGATAGACCCATTGCCAAACTGTATAGCTGGATAGCTCCCAAGATTAGACGACTAATAGTAAATGTCCAACACCATCTTATTAGTTCCTATCGATATCAACCCTACCACTCGACCTCTCATATGCTAATCTACTACAGACTCCTTCTGCTTTGATCGTGATTATGACG